GAAAGAAAGAAAGAAAGAGAGAAAGAGAGAAAGAGAGAAAGAAAGAGAGAAAGAGAAAGAGAGAAAGAAAGAGAGAAAGAAAGAAAGAAAGAAAGAGAGAAAGAAAGAGAGAAAGAAAGAGAGAAAGAGAAAGAAAGAAAGAGAAAAAGAAAGAAAGAAAGAGAAAAAGAAAGAAAGAAAGAGAGAAAGAGAGAAAGAAAGAGAGAAAGAGAGAAAGAAAGAGAGAAAGAGAAAGAGAGAAAGAAAGAGAGAAAGAAAGAAAGAAAGAAAGAAAGAAAGAGAGAAAGAAAGAGAGAAAGAAAGAGAGAGAAAGAAAGAAAGAGAGAGAAAGAGAAAGAAAGAAAGAGAAAGAAAGAAAGAAAGAAAGAAAGAAAGAAAGAAAGAAAGAAAGAAAGAAAGAAAGAAAAGGATGGTGGGAAATTGACCACAGATTGAAGGAATTTCATGAAGATATTCTGGAGGAGCAAAAAAATGGGGGGTGGGATGAGAAGCAACAATCTGAGATATGACATATACTTGTATACTAGTAGCATAAAACTGAGATGGATTTATGAGATTTACTGTATTTTTCAACAATGGGGTGGAATAGACTAGAATAAATTAAGAAATGGGCTAGATCTGAGGACACATTCAGCCAAGGAATTACTTATTTGTTGTTTTGTCACTCCAGTTCCCTTTTTTCTCCTTTTAGCTTATTTAGTTTAGAAGGAATGTCTTTTTTCCAATTGCTGCTGTTACAAAGGTGAAAATCTCTTGTCAAACTTCTGCAAGTAGCAATCTATCTTCTATGGAGACTGCCCATGACTATTCTACCTTATTTCAGCCTGAAAGCTACAGCAATCAGGTTCTGCCCATAATTTCGTTTTCTCCACCATTTGAGAAAGGAGGAGAAGGAGAAAGTAGGGGAAAAAAACTCTGAGTCCTCTGCTGATTTTTCTAAGCTAGGATGTCTGACTGCTATTACACCGGCCTTATTTTTCAAGAGAAAGAAGGGAAATGAGAAAGTAGCAGCCCTCCAAAACCCCTTTGGACATTCCACAGTCATCCCTTTTTCTTTTTCTACTGAGAGGTAAAAAAGGGAAAAGAGCAGATTTTTACATTAACAACTGATACTGGCTAGAGAATAGCTGTCAACAGAACGGTTGTTTTGAAATAAATGAATGTAAAGCACACAGCAGGTATCAAGGAGACTGCTAGGCTAAAGGGAGTGGAACGAAGCCACCACATTGCCTCTTTACTAATGGAGCAGTTCTGCTATGTTCCTCACAACTTTGCATTCTCTCCCTGCTGCCTCCAAAAGAAAGAAAAGCAAAAGCAAAAAAGTTAAGGTAGGAAACAGGGAGATGGGGAAACAATCTGGGAGGAGAGCAGTATAGGCAACTAGGTCGTTAAATGAAATGGTCGCTAAGTAAAAACGCAACTGTGCTTATGATCTTACTTCAGCTTTCCTTTGCTTTACAGATCTGTGAAGGTTGTAAATATGAGGATTGATCGTAAAGTTACTTTTTCATCACTGTCATAACTGCAAATGTCGCTAAATGAGGACTACCTGTACTCAACTTAAGTTGAACAGGGATTGCAGACACTATAATCATGTTTTTATTGCTAGACTCAAGTAGTAAATCTATTACAGACTTTGAACTATATTTTCTGAAAAGCAATATAGTTTCAACATAATTTTAACAGAAGTAATGAGACATAAAATGAAGAATGGAATTTACCAGCAAGCTGCTGCTTCAAATCACTGCTGAAAACAAAGACTTGAGAAAACTAACCTGCTGTTTGCTAGCGCTCTCTGTCTGTAACAGGGCAGCATGATTTGCTATCTTACGAAGGACTGTCAAATAACTGAAATATAATGCATTCATTGTTTCGCCATGAGCATTTGTCTGTAGAAATAGAAATAGTTTAAAAGTTCAGAGATCTGAGCGCTACAGTACTTAAATAAGACAGGAAATATTTATTCCACAAAATCCATGGTTTGGATTTCTTTTCTCTGGGTTGAGGTGAAAACTTGAATTCTACAATATTAAAAATGTATTTTGTACTTTACTGAATGGAACAATACACAACGTTCTGTCTCTAAAGTCTCACGTCAGAATGTCAAATTAAAATGTATTAATATAATTTATAATGCAAAGATACTGATCTGAAAAAGGCAGAAGAAGAAGAAGCCGCCCATTTCCTATTTCATTTTATGAACAGCAGCCATCACAATACAGTTTTTCAAACATAAAGAAATACAGTGTGTTTTGAAACCATGGTCTGAAAAGCATTGAATTCTGATTTTCTATATTCATTCAAGGTCTACCTACATGCAAAATGAGATAATTTGACTGTGGATCTATACTGTCAGCCCTTCAAGGTAGCCCTAACAGGAAACCAAAACCATGAGTATTAATGGTACCTTTATTGTAACAGAATCTTGCAAGTCTGAAAGCACTTCTCCCTTCCCCTGCCTTTACTTTCCAGAGAACTAGGGAGGGTCCCTTCTAAGACACTTTCTCGACCCCCATCCCTCCTTTGGACTCAGATTTTGTTTATTAGACTGTTGTCTAGGCTGCAGTTCTTCCTCCTGTCTCCCAAAGTTATTCTCACAGCCCATTACATATACATTTCTCCTCAAAGAGTTAGAAAAAACATTTAAAAAACCAATACATTTAAGTGAAACAAATGCTGTCCTGGCCAGGCTGGAGTAGAGTAATGGGTTAAACCTGTTAAAGCCACCTCTCTACACAATCATTAGAATGGCATGGAAAAAGCATAACAAAGATCTAAGGTGGTAGAATAGACTAAAATACTTCAGATTGTAGATTGTACATTGTTCAGGATATGTTAGGTTGACTAATACAATAAATAAAATGTAGTCTCCTGCATAAAAAGAAGCTTAGCATCTCAGAAAGGGACACAATTTAAACGCTTATCTCTGTCATGCTAGGATTTTTTTTTTTTAACTTCTAGGAAGTCTTGTACTTGGGTGACGAATCAAAATGGCACACACACCCCCCAACATGCATCTGGAGCAGGTAAGAATGCTCTGCTGCCTACTTCAACTCTATGGTAGATCAGGCCTTAGCTCAGAGCACAGGTAAAACTATACAGAAGAATCAGAAATGTTTTAATAAATCAGAAATCATTTCTGTAAACGTAGCTTGAAAGCTAGGGACTGGGAACTTTTTGACTGATTGATGCATTTTAATTTCATTACATCCATTTGTTAAACATCTTTTTGGCTGCCTAATTTTTATTTATAGTCAGATGTGCCACTATTATGCAAAGAGACATCATCTGTAGACACCACTCCCTGTTTCTGGCATCTAGCGTCAGTTCTTCCATATACTTTGCAGACTTCCATATGTTCTTAGGCATGTAAATCCTATCAGCAGCAACAGCTGTCACGGTCCCTGGGGCCTCAGTGTCTCCAATTAGCATGATCACTGTCCATTCTTCCTGATGCCAGTCATCTACTAAACTATGATGGGTCCCTCTTCCAGAGCATGGGAAGAGAAGCAGGAGCACACAGTTTTATCAATGTTTGAAAGAGGTTGGTCTACAGAATAGCTTATATTATCTTTAAGTGCTGAAATATGAATATGATTTTCATGCCAAGAACAAATCACCATGTGTGCACATGCCTTCAAGTCTGTGTTGACTCCTGGCAACTGCCTGGTCAAGTCCCTGAAGTTTTCTGGCAACATTCTCAGAAGTGGTTTGCCATGGCCTCCTTCTTAGGGTCTGTAGAGAGTGGCTGGGCCAAGGTCACCCAGCTGGTTTTGTGCCTAAGGCAGGGCTAGAACTCACAGTCTCCTGGTTTCTAGCCCAATGCCCTTAACTATACCAAACTGGCTCTCATAACAGCCAATAATGATGCATAAATCCAAGAAATAAATTCACGTAAATTCTCTAGAATAACCTTTTAGTTCATTTTTCCCTCCATGACAATGCCAGGCCAGGCCAAGTCCCCTGGACTTCCAGGCATTGGAAAAATATTGCTTCCACTTCCTCTGCATAGGCTACGTTTGAAGCCTATGCAAAAGTCATCTTTAGTGGATTTTGTCTCATCTCTCTTGTTGTTAGCTCTGTTTACTTTGCATAAAGTTAGACTATCATCTTAAAAACACCTGGGAATTTATTCCACACCATATGCTTAAAATTCAAAGTATTATTCTTTTTCAAATATCTGAAACATATTTAACCTGAAACAACTCAAAAAAATCTCATCCAATAGCTTTCCAGTAGACCAGCAATGATATCAACAACTGTCTCAAATAACTACTTTCCTGGCCATGCCTGGCTGATTTTTAGGTGATGATTCACTGACCATTTATGTTGTGGTAGTTCCAGTGAGGTAAACATGACAAAAATTAAGTTTATTCATTTTATGGATCACACGAGATGAGCAATAATAAAACAGCTTCTATTATGTCATAGTAACATAGCTTGTAAAGGCATACCACAAAGCCTTCCCTTGATTACTTTTCTTTTGAGACAACTTTTTCAAGTAACTACATCTGCTTAATGTGAAGTAAATCAATACAATCAACTAGACCATTTTAAAGCAGAGGAAGGATCAGAGACACATTTGGAATTTTGAGAACAGCCATTCACAAAACTTCTATTTACCAAAAGGTGAATTAGCCTCCACCCAATAGATACTTTTTAGCATTGTTGTAATAATAATAGTGATTGAACAACTTTTTTGGTAACTCAAATCAGTGCTATTTTAATTTTAAAAAATTTAAAGTTAGAAGCATTACATTGGCCTGGGAACCCCCCCCCCCCCGCAAAAATTAGCCTGGCCATTCTATCTACAGTACAATACGTCATTATCCATCTACTCTATGGCCCTGTTAAGATTTATGAGGGGAAAAACAGTGGATATGGAGTAGGTCAAAGGACTATTGTAGATGGTCGTTGTACTTCAAACAAACTTATGTTTAAAAAAATGCTTACTTTGTAGCAACAATTCTTCCTTTTATGGCCACTACTACAGCTACATGATTCACATGCCCGCAGCACTAACTGCACATCTTCTGTCTCCAATACAGTCTTATAAATTGTTCTCTGGAACTCTGTCAGATAACAATATACCATCTGGCAAGATAAAATGCAAAACAGGGAGAATAAAACAACACAAATAATATATCAAAACTAAAATATGCGCTGAGCTTGCAAAATAAAGAGATGGGCTTTAGGATTCTTTTTCAAAGATTATGATCAACTAGCACTTTATATTTAAATGATACAATCTGCTAAGAATGTGAAAGATAAACTGTTGTGATCACTCTCAATCCCTAAGACAATAGATCTTAAATTGCTTAAAAGATCTATTTGCCATTTCCTGGCACTATTGTAGAGACTAATGCAGACAGCAGGAGTAAAAGAAAACAGCCAATTTTTAAGACTGACATTCTGAATAGCTGATATAGGAGGGAGAGATTCTTGGACAGTGGTATGACATAGTTAATCCTTCCTCTTAAAGACCATGGGTGGCATCTCCATGACATCTTTTGGTCTCAACCAGCAGGATACAGATATTCTAAGACCCCTCCTGAATTTAGGCCACCCACAAAGCAGCTGCACCATGCTGTGCTATAATAATCCAATGGTATCTTGAACATATACTCACATTATCAAGAGAATGGGATAAAATAAAAGCTTCTAGATTAAAGGCAATGGAGTGACATTGCTGTTAATCTTCTCTTTAGAAAACACAGTTTAGACTGCATTATTACAAGCTTAGCTGAAAGGCAGGTATAAACAAGGAAGAAAGAGCAGCAAACTAACATGTAACTTTATTAAAAGTGTGATTGTGTGTTCTCTAAAATGTAGTTTTGCATTTATCAAAACATTCCAGACAGGACAAGTGAAAGTCATACATCTTTCATAATGGAAGCAAATCTGCACAGTTTTGTATCTATCAATTCATAATTGACTTTTATATTATAAAAAAGAGGCACAAAAAGTATGCAATTTCAATTAATTCAGAGATTTTGTACAGATACTGAACACATTATACATGCAGGCAGAACTCTGCATCTTCCATAAACCTGTGATGGAAAATGCATATTGGACAGGAAATAAATGCTTCTATATGAAAATCATTCATAAGAACACTGTTATATTCCAGAAATTTTTAGTGGGAAAGGGGAAGGAAAGTGAAGGGCTTACTTGGAACTCTTGTTCTTCAAATCATGCTTTTGGTTTATTCACAGAAATCTGCTTGCATAAATCACATTTAGGAACTTCTAAAAAGATAAAAGAGCCCTGACTCCTTTCCTTTACCTCCACATAATAATACACCTTACATGAATAGAAGGATTGTCACAAAGAGCAAAATCAAAATAGATATTTCATTTAAAGTGGTCATGACTCTGGAGAGTCGTCCACTGTAGAAATGTAACAACTAAATTTCATCTTTATGAGCTCTGGGTAGGTCTCACTCACCTGGAAAAGAAAAGTTTTAGATTATCCAAGCCAAAAAAAGAAAGCACTGAAGAGCATTATTCTATAGCTTATTTAATCTGTTATCTCAATATCTAAATTGCACAGCTGAACAATTAGGAATATAATTTAATTCTTTTGTAAAGATACTAACATAACTACAGACCTGGTGAAATGTTAGAAGACTGGACCTGCAGACTTTTTGCATCTCATAGCAACAGTAAACTATTTTGATCAATCAGAAAAAAAAAATAAAGCTATATAAAATAAGAGTGTTCCCTTGTAAGATCTGGAAAAATGAAAAAAAAAAATCTTGAATGTTTTACTTGCATTAACATAAAAAGCTAATGAAAAGTTCATGCCTGACACCTAAACAATGCTAATTTTGTAAATCTTTGGAGATGAGGAAAAACATGGCAAAACTCCCCAAGGGATGGAACTGTGAAACAATCTGTTTACACTAAGAATTGGGCAGAAAGACTGTCTTATCTTTGAAAGATGGGAAATAAAATTAATTTGCATGCAAAACCATCCATCCACTCACACAGAAGAGACTACAGTGGCCTAGTAGGCCAGCAACCTAGAAGGATAACCAGAGGAATTTTGAATGATTCCACGTTAAGAAAGCTGACTCAAAAGACAGATTCTGGTATGGAATCTTAACAAGGTATCTCAGGAGCAATTAACAAAACTATGAAGAAAGTGCTTTTCAGTAGTTATACAGTTCACAGAAAAAGTATGTGCCCCCTTTCAGATTTTGTAAATTTTGTATATCTTTGCCACTGAAAGTTATCAGTTTCGTATGTGTCCTAGTGATATATAAATAGACTCTGAATAAACAAATTAACACTGAAATTTGGTTTTGTGTCTCATATATATTCTATAAACAAAGTCACCCAACACACAATGCACCAATGTGCAAAAGTAATCTCTCTTTCTCTCTCCTTCACACGCACAGAGAGAGAGAGAAAGAGAGAGAGTTTAAGCAGTTCAGTTAAAGGAATAACTAGTGCCAACTGTGTGAGTACTTCATTACACAATTAGGGGCTGATTTGGGCTAGATTATAAATTTCAGAAACTCTGGCTCCCCTCATCATGAGGATGTATTCACACCACAGATGCTAGAGGCACGTCATGCTCTGCTCAAAATAAATTTATGAAGACTTCTATAAAAAAAGGCCTTGATGCCTACCAGTCTGGAAAAGGTTACAAAAACATTTGTAAAGATTTGGAGATCACTGATCCACAGAGATAATCTTGCATAATGAATCTTTCCAACAGTGGCTATCCTCTCAGAATTAACTCCAGAGTGCAGCATAAAATTTTCCTGGAACTCACAAAAAACAACTAGGACAATATCTAGGGATTTATGGCCTTTCTCACTTTGGCTAAAGTCAGTGTTTATGATTTCACCAGCAGAAAAGCAAACAGTAATTTAATTAATTAATTTTAATTTATTAAATTTGTTATAGGCGCCCACTTTATACACTCTGGGTGGCTTACCAAATTATATTACCAGAAACTATAAAAACAATTAAACACAATTAAACACACATACACAGGCAGCCTAGACTAAAACAACCAAAACAATAAACCATACAGATATAAAAGGGGCCCCATAAATACATCAATAAACCCATTAACCCCATTAAAAATGGGATTAATGGAGAACTGCAAGGTAGAAATCATAGCTCACTAAAAAAAACATTGCTGCTCATCTTTAGTTTGCCAAAAAGCACCTGGATGACATGCACACATGGATTTCTGGAGGTATGTTCAAAAGTGGAACTTTTCAGACTCCATGGGTGTCATTATGTCTGGTGAAAACCAAATACTGCATTCCACAATAAAAACTCATATTAACTCTCAAGCATGGAAGTGGTTGTTCATGGTTTAGGGATGCTTTGCTACCTCAGGACTCTAGACTACTTACAAAAAGCAGGTATTCTGCATTTAATTAGAGAATTCTACAGGAGAATATCAGGCTACCTGTCCATCAATTGAAGCTGAACCAGTAGTGTCATACAGCAAAACAGTGATTTTAAATGTGTAAACAAGCCTATAAAAATGAAGAAAAAAAACATTCAGTGTTTCAAAGCCCATAGAAAAGTGTGTGACCTAGAATGTTCATGCTAAAAAACCTTCAAATATTATAAGTTGAAGCTGCTGGCCATGGAGGGGTGAACCAACATTCCTGCGCAGTGATGTGAAAGCCTGATGATCAATTATAGAAAGTGTTTGGGTTTTGCAGCTAAAGATGATGCAACCAATTACTGAATCTAAGGGGACAACTACTTTTTCATACTGGCACATCACTAGGACCCACATGAAGCTCTGGTAAGATTCAGAGGCAAAAATATGCAAACATTCAGAAAATCCAAAAGGGGGCAAATATTTTTTCAAAAGAAGTACACACAGATGAAACTCCAGGAAAACTGAGAGGCTGGTATTTTCTAAAGAGCTCAGACAATCAAGAATGCATTCCATAGGAACAGATTTTGAGCTCCCCAGTCAATAATTATTTCAAGATATAGACTGCCATGAAAAGGACAGAAGAGCAGATTTTAACAAGGAGTGGGAATGGAAGACTCATGTCCCAAGATGTATAAATAAAGTAAGCCCAAACCCCTACTTGAGTCAAAATATTTAGCCTGTCATCAAGAGGAGAACCACGTCCTCTGAATTTTCAGAGATAATAACTGTAACAATCACTGGGATAGCTTTCAGAATGTATATAGCACTTTCATTCATTACTTTCAATAACACTATGGAAATCCAATATAACAAAGAAATTGTGTGAACATTGCTGAAAGCCCATGATTACTATTGCAGAGGAAAGGTAGATGCTAATAATTCACTCAGATTCCGCAGAACAGAGTATTTGGAACTCTGCTTTTGTAACATGTCATTTAATGATATCCTTATAAAACAGGCTGAACCCTTGGAGGGTTGAAGTGAAGGTGCATTTATGGAAAAAAATGATTGATAAGACATTTGTGTCAAACAGGTAGTAGCAGCTAGCTGACCTTGGTTGATTTTGGAAAAGTTAAGCAGAGTTGGATCTGGTTAGTACTTGGATGGGAAAACTTCAGAAAATCCCACCGCTGCAGACTATGCTAGAAGTTGGAAAAACATCTTGGAACAAGGAAATGGCAAACCATTTCCATATTGTTGTCATAGAAAGAACATGGATACACCCATTAATTCATCAAAAAGTGAGTTCCATCACAAAGAAGCCTTCATGTCTCAGATATTAGTCTTTCTGAGTATGACAGCAAAAAAGTGTCTGTCCTTTCCATAAAAACAGCTATTGATTAGCAAGTATTATCAAGGATTTTTTTAAATGGCAGGAAAGTTACAGTCCTGTATCTCCAGAATATCATGTAACAGTATGCCCTATATGCCACAAACAATTCTGTTCCCCTTCTCTAGTTTCCCTACTCAGTTTTACCTTCTCAGAGATAGTATCTACCATGCATGTATCCAAAAATCTCTATTTTCCAAGTCAAAGAATATTACTGATATCATCACAAAAAAATAAAATAAAAAAAATGAGTTTTATCTTATACTCACTTGGTGCATATGAAGAGCTTAGGAAAACATAACAAAGCCCCACACAGTAACTACCAGAGCTCTCAGAAAGGGAGAGGTCCCTTCCTCCAATTGTTAGAAAGAAATTGCTTTCAGGCTAAAAGTGCAAAAAAGACACTCAGCAGGAAGATTCTGATTTTGTCCTGTCATTCAAGGCTTCCAAAACTTTCTCAAAAGCCTCTCTTGCAGTTTCTTCAGATGTGCTCCTAGGCCATTCATAGCCTTTGAGAGAAAGGATAACCCATTTTTTCTTCAAGCTAATTATAAATGTTACAATTATTGCTGTGAATTAAATCAGCAATCAAGGAAACAAAAAACAGGTCCTTTTCTAATTCATCCACTAGATCTGCAAAACAGTCTGACACGGATCTCCAGCACCACAGTCCCCTAACACCTATACAGCTACACACAGGCAGTTCCATATGTAAGGTTACCCTAACGTACCTCCTATATGAATTGTACAAAATCCACACTAACACGAGTGAACAAAGTTAATAAATGGAGCTCACTCTGTCTTCTTTCTTGGGCAACTGATCATTGATGAGAGCCTTTGTACGCCTTAAGAAATAACCCGATAGTTTTTCAGCTAGCCTCTTCATTGACTTTCGGCCTGTGGCTAGCTCTCTTTTAGTTGCAGTGTGCCGCTGGCCAAGTTCTACAGGATCAGAAAACTCTGTCTTGAAACTTGCTTCGCTACCCAAGAGCCCAGGTACAGCCCTAAGAGAAAGAGAAATCTGTTATGAATCTTTTGATATTTATGATATTATAATCATTATGAAATACTGAAACACTAATATAGGATATTAATTTTAGCAGGCTTCTAGAGTCAAGGATCTAGATTTCTTATTAGCTGTTGACTTTCACATACCAGCTAAAGCCCTATGGAAGATTTAGCAAGTTTTTAACTGTTTGTTGGACTGATTTTTGGTTTTATTCTTATATTTTAGAATTTGTATTTTGTGGAAAGCCATCCTGAGCATTAGATAGACAGAAAGACAGAATATAAATTTAATACATACAGGTAGTCCCCAGTTTAAGAACGAGTTCCATTGCCAAAGTCTGCCCTTAAGTCAAATTTGTATGTAAGCCGGAACAGTATTATTGTATACTGTATAAGTAGTATTGTACAATTAACTCAAACCATTGTGTATTTAACTCAAAGCACTGGGTATTTAACTCGAATTTTGCTACAATAGGCTCCGTTCTTAACTATGGGTCATCCATAAACCAGGTGTTCTTAACCCAGGGACCACTTATATAAGGTTACAATCCTTACTTACCTAGAAATAAATCCAAATGAATAAAATTAGATCTGCTCATATGCAAATTAATATTAAATTCCACTGTAATTTTCTATGCATATTGCCAAATACGTTCATTTTTAGAACTCTCCCCATTTAATGTTATTAAGGCTAATTTATGATACCTAGAAAATCAGACCTGTTTTCCAGTTTATGAACTGTAACTTCACTAGCTACCTATGCTGAGAGCACTATAAAAGGAATACTTATTAGGAAAGTGCAGGCCCTTGGATCCAAAGCAGAAAAGGTACATTCAAGCAGACATGGGCTCACATATGTGCAGGTCAGTGCCATTTTAACAAAGCTGGTACAGCAAGGTGCTTTCGAGCAAGCATGGGCACACTGTTGGTGCCTTCTTACCTCAAACATGTTTTCCTGGGATAGCAGGGCTACTGTACAAGCCCAGGAAAAAATGCAGTTTCTTCACAAGATTCCAACAGGTGCCACATGTGTGCCTATACTCCTCTGAAGCATCTTTTCTGTATCACCTCTGAAGTGCTACACATCCCAACAGAAAGAAGGAAGCATACATTTGGGTTTCTAAACTGCTCTTTCCTTGTATTGTTAAGCAGCACATAAACCCCTAAAATCCATGACATCAGGCTTTAAAAGAATCATCTCACACATTACATAGTAATAAATGCACGTTTTTCATTGCTTGTATTCTACAGTACCATGACACACACTCGCATAATGGGAAATGTGTGTTCTATAAATTCCTGGCACAGACAACTAAAGCTGGGTTGCCAAAGTTCTCTGTAAAACAGACATCTGTCAGACATGTGAATGCCAGGCGTGCATAATACATGAGAACTCTGATGTGCATAGAGATAAACAAGGGGGAGAAAGGATTATAAGCATTCCTTCTGAACTTGTAATATTAAATTTTATTTCACTTACCAGTCCATAACACACCAAAGCTCTTTCATGTTGTTCTGTAAAATTGTCCCAGTAAGTCCCAACCGAACTTTACACATTAGAGCCTTCATTGTCTGAGTTATCTGAGATTTTGGATTCTTGATTCTATGTACTTCATCCACAATGACAGCTGACCATTGTAAACTATGAAACATAAGGAATTAGTGAAAGTTTGTCTAAACTCTCCTCCTCAATTCAGTTATCTTAATGAGCTTGTAATAATTAAATTTCTCATAATGAACTCATCCCCCCTCCCCCATATATATTATCAGCCTGAATCAATCCACTGCAGGATGGAGGCCTCTTTGCTGAAGTTAGGGACCATAATCTAATACACTGATCCAGTGCAGGCTGGTAGATAGATGTTTTTCAGTTTCCTAATCTAGAGCTGAATTCTGAATAACTGGCTCAAAGTTAGCCAGCCAATTTCTGTGCATAAGAAAATACTAGAACTTGGGTCTCCCTCGTCCTAGTCTAGCTTCTGAACCACTATACCATAGTGCAACGTTTCTGAACCTTAGCAAGCTGGCTGGGGGAATTCTGGGAGTTGAAGTCCACACATCTTAAAGTTGCTAAGGTTGAGAAACCCTGCCATAGTGGCTCTCATGTATATATTTAACCTATCCATTTAAAGAGTGGATCTAAAGTTTAGATAACTGTACAGAGTGATCTAAAGTTATCTAATCCTGCCTGTAGCTTTTAAATGTATATTTAAAAGCCATAGGCAGGATTAGATAACTTTAGATCGCTACACCAACTATGTAGTGGCTTTGAATAAGCACCTATTATGACATAAAGTATCATACATTTTCCCCATCTAGCCATTAATCTAAGAGTGATTTATTGATATCTGAGGGAGAATGGCTAGCCTATAATGTTCATTTTTCAAAATTATACTTGGCCAGTGCTTTTAATCAAAGCTTTAAAATCTGACATTTTTAAGACACCACCATAGCATTATATTGCTGCAGCTCTGTGGAAGAAACAATCTACATAATATGATGTTAAGTCATTAACATGGTTTGTTTTGCAGCTCAAACCCACTGTAGCTTATAAATCATGGTTTCTTTCCTGGGATGGGTCTGTAAATCAAGTTAAGCCTATAGCCATATCTTTGTTTACAATAATGCTTAAAGGCCCCACATGTATTCTATAAGCAATTTTTAAGAAAAAAATAGGGCTTTTTCTGGAAGAATGCCCAGCTGCTCAAATGAAAATACAAACAAACCTGGGATAGTAAAGAACATCTTGGGTCACTAAAAAAGGACTGGGAAGCAAACTCTCCCCTCTGCCTTCTACTAAGGGGATTCTTCATTGGCAACACTTGGTGAATACCCAAGCCCTGCCCTCATGTATAAGATTGGATCCACTGTCCCACAGCATTACCTATCCATGATTTCCACAGGATTTTTTGGAACATCTTTTTTTACAAGAGTTCGCCCATGCAATCTGTCTTTTTCTGAATCTGTTGATATTTCTAATTTTCTGGGTGAAACTGAGCAATGCCAACAGGACAGATACCGTTGTCTGAATACATTGTCTGGGTTCCCAAATTCTGCTCTGAGAAAAATGGGGCTAAGGGGTATGGAGGAGAGGATGGGGAAAGAAGTCCTAACTGAAAGTCTCTGGAACTTAATTTCATTTGCCTACATGCATTTAATTGAAGCTAAGTCACATAAATTTCAATAGACACATTGTATACCCAGGATTATATTCCTTACATACCTTTTCCTTTATCTCTAGCTAAAATATTTCAAGGATTTGTAGCTACAATTTATAAAAGAAGTCTCATATTCAGTAGCAGTAATTACAGAATGTAGTTACCTGTTAAGCTCATCCAAATAAAGGCGAAGTACTTCGTAGGTTGTTAGCACAATCTCACATTTTCCCTGCTTGATTCGATTTAACTCATACTCTTTTCTGTTGCCATGCAGAACTATAACCTTGAAGTACCCCCAGACATCTAATTCATCTTTCCAATTATAGAGCACAGAAAGAGGTGCCACAATCAAGAAGGTCTGAACCAGAAGAAACATACAATACTGCTGTTGAATATTGCAAAATGTACCAAAATACAAAATTCTCACACTGTTATGATACTTTTCAATTGTTGCAACAAGGAAAGTGAGAGATAAATTCAGAAAAAAATATCATATTTCATTAAGATATGATATAAGAATATTTTTGAAAATGGAGTCCAGAGTATATTTTATGGCAGCCCTGAACAACACAAGACTATCAGGTTACATGCAACCTACCAGCATGAGCTAAATCCCAACAGGTGAACAATTCCCCTCCCCATATTTCTGCAGCCAGCAATAAAAACTAACAGTTTACTGAGTCAGTGTTGGCCATACATTACATGACTGGCAGGTAACGATCCTACCAACACAAAGCAGTTTTCATAATTACAGTATCTACAGACATTTCTGACCACACATGAGCAGAATTATTCTTTTGACTCCTATTACTAACAGAAACAAAATTATGGTCAAATAAGTCTCAGGGTCACATGTGGACCCTAGTAGCTTTGGACACAGTCTCCAGATCTTTCCCCAAATTGCTACTGAAATATTATTTTGAATATCACAACATAGGAATAATGACTACATAGATATGGAACATCCACACTAACAAAACTTAATTAATTTAATTTAAAAGAAATAGAACCAAATATCTTTTCTTGAATTGACTGCTTAACTTAAGAGGCCCAGGACCTTGGAGCTTTGTGCAAAGACCAAGGAAGATCTATCAAGAAAACAATTTCTTGAAGGCATTTTGGAGAGCAAATCAAACCAACTAGGATACTTTTTTCCAAAATTCATGGACATGTAAGTTTAAACCTAGCTCTTGTTACTAATGTCTATACTGAAATTATTATAAATCCTTGTTAGATCAGTGCCTAAGAATATCTACCATAATGTTCCAAACAAAATGCCTCTGTTTGGCACTGAATATTCTGTAACCAATATTTCTATGGAACACAAGACATTTTACCGCTATTATTTTTCTTCTGCCTCTCAAACAAAAGCATCTTGAAATATTTATAAAATATATAATACCCCAAACCCTCAATAAATTAAAAACAATGAAGAACCATATACGTACAAAAAGAAAAAAGGAGTGGAGGAAAGAAAACAAAAGCAGAAACAAAAACCATTCAACTAGCATTCACACCAAGGAGGCCTGGGTGAAGAGATCAATCCCCAACAGGCACCTTAAGATTTAACAGTTAGTGCCTATATAACACAGGTGCACTGTGTGGGGCCCAGAGTCCCACATGGTCCCTGGAAGCCTTGGGGACAGCCTTCAGATCTGTCCCAAAATTGGTACTGAAATATTATTTTGAATAGGACAACATAGGAATAATGATTACATAGATACATCCATATTAACTTTAATTAATTAACTTTAGTTAATTTAATAGAACTAAATTTAGCTTTTCTTTCAGCTCCACTTACTTTCTCTATTGCTGCCTGCAGGGCATCACTCAAGAGCAGATGTTAGTCCCCCCAAAAGTGGCAGAGCTCTGCTATACAAACTCAGTATCTGGTTGAAGTACGAGCAGCCCTTCTTACATGAGTAAGCTCAGATGCATTAAGTCAGGCTGCTGATTATTTTTCCAGTTTCATGAGAGGTAACAGGAACAATTAAACATTAGAAAATGGAAATCAAATGAGAAAAGGAAGAATGCCAGTGAAACTAATCCTCAGTATGTTTATTCTACATAGAGCCACTGAACTTGTAAACATGTTTGGCTGGAGCAGATAACAGGATGTATGGGAATAAAACCTAGGAATGCCAAGCCTTCAAAATAATGAAATGCCTTATATTTAAGTCTAATTTCCAGGCACAGAATGTACAAAAATTTGTACATTTGTAAAATGGGTAATTAAAATATCTTTCAGCAGTATTTAAAAATGTGAAACATTGCTTTTGATGAACAATTAATTCAATACAAAGCTTTGGCAATTTTTATAATAAAAGTTAAATGTATTCAGATTTGGTCACCATTTATTAGCTATATTAGCAAAACTTTTCCTAATAAATTACGTTTATCTTTATTAATATAATCCTGAATATAAATATTGAATATGGTTGTTTCATATTTTTAACTGCCCAGAGTCACTGAAAGTCAGACAGCATATAAATTAAATCAATCAATCAATCAATCAATCAATCTGCCTTTAAGATCACTTATATAGGCACACTTATTCTCAATGTTTATTTTCTTGTTTTTGTTTTTACCATTGACTTATTTTTATCTCTCAGTGTTTGTCCTTTTGTACTGGAAAAAAAAAGCTTTCAGGGAAGAAAGAATTAAATTCAGCCCATTATCAGTACCCAACTGGCTTGGAAGGGAGTGAGGATAGAGGCAGGCTAGAAAGCAAGAATTTGAAACTGACACAGCTAATAGCAGCCCACCTGAAGGGGAAGCACAATGCAAGAATATCCATTCAACAGAACTGGTCAGTCCCATTAAATGCTCTTCAAGTCTTACTAGAAATTTACGCTATTTTTCAAGCAAATTTAATTATCCCGCAAAGTGATTTCTATTCCAAGTTATTATAAACAAGACTTCTGCATCTACATCTAAGTTGTAGAAGCCCAGTTATTAGAGAATCCTTTCTATGAATCATCTTTTATTTTGCTCAGCAAACACTGTCATTCATTCCCCAGTTAAAGATTAATTATACTACATTTTCAAGACGCCCAAATATAAATGTATTTAAATTAAAAGCATACTTTCTTTGGAACAGATGACATTTCTTTTCTCATTGTTCGCAGCAAAAAATCAGGCATATTATTTTCAATATCTGCACGTGTCCCCTTTTTCTTTAGCACTGCAGCCAGAAATGAAATAACCTGGGAAAAGTGAAGTGGTAGTGGTAGTGGTAGTGGTAGTGGTAGTGGAAAGAAAGAAAGAAAGAAAGAAAGAAAGAAAGAAAGAAAGAAAGAAAGAAAGAAAGAAAGAAAGAAAGAAAGAAAGAAAGAAAGAAAGAAGCAATGAAAATAAGTTTCTTTTTTTTTAATTAAAAAAAATTAAATTAAAAATTTTTAAACCATCTTTAAATCGACACACATCAAGAGCGCAAACAAGTGGGATTTTGATCATGGGCATAATGGTAAAAGGATACTTTGCACTAATCAACAGCCAAGATCCAGAACAAATAGCAAAATGATGTTGTTAAGGCTAGTCTTCAAAAAGATGTAAAGGTAATCCATACTAATACAGAAGCTCATTGAAAGGAGTTAGTTTGCAGGACTGTTGTTTACTATATTAATTTAAATACACATGTATTTTGGTTTCAATCTGTTGTACCATTAAAAGCAATACTATTCATAATTGAATTCATAATATAAAACTGTCTTAAACTAGATTTTTAATTTTCAATCAGGTGAACACATTTAAAAGTGCCTATGATCAAAAAGAAACTTGCAAATACACGTATATCTTCCTTCAGTTTACAACACAGTTCAAATTCTTAAAAAAAAAAGATATTTGTCAAAGGAATTCTGTTTTTCTCATTATAAGTACAGCTTCCTACAAAATCAATGAGCAACCATTCATAGAAACTTCAAAGAAAACTGAGAGTGGTAGGTTATAGAATGAAATCATAAATTAAAATCATTCTGCAATTTAATCTCTAAATTTCTCACAGAACAAAATACTCTTTCTCTCTTGGACATAATGAATTACCATTCTGAGAGATAATATTATAGGTATTTTTCCCTATGTAACAACAAATTACAGGCTATTTTCCTCATACACTGACTTCGTGCAATACAAACTGAAGACTGATATCCAGAAAAGAATACAATAACATTTTCAACAGGCAGTATAAAAAAGGCACACAGAAACCAGCCTTGATTTTAAAAAAATGTGGAATTTATATTTTTTATTATATACATTTCCTAGCTTGTGATTAGAAAATTTCAGTCTCATCAACTGTTTGCTTTCCAGGTTTATCTGGTGTCCTGAACAGGATGGAAAGGCCAGCATATGTGCAAAAATTAAAAGATACTTCCAACTTTCTCATTATTATCAAACTTTAATCAATTCCATATGGTTTTTTTAAGCCAAAATATTCAAAGACTCAAAATTCATAATACTGATCAGTGTGAAAAAAGTTTTGATTTATTAAAATGTTGATGCATTACTTTTAGTTAATATATACGCCATTTTTATAAAAGTCATCAAAGCTGCCACTTAGAAATTAAACGAAACATCAAGAACCAAACTTTTTCTTCCTTGCAAAATGTTCCTGCTAAGTCCCTGTAAACTTTTTAAAAAATAAAATTACAACTACTTGATTTAAACAGTATGGCATTTTTTAAAAAGAAGAAACTTAAAGTTCCTTTAAAGGCTGCTCCGAAATTTTATGCCAACTTGTCATTGCTGCCACTGATTCATCCCCCATCAGAAATAATGGAAGAAGCAATATACTACACGGGATAGCAAAAAACCTCAAACAGAGGAAGTCAAAACTCTCCTCACACTCAATTGCTTCATTTCAGATACACTCACTCCATTTAGGATTGCATTGTAAAGACCTACACAATTTCGTTTTCTAAATACATACTTGGCAACTTTAAGATGTGTGGACTTCAGCTCCCAGAATTCCCCAACCAGCATGGAGTTTAAGTGCACACATCTTAAAGTTGCCAAGGTTGAGAAACACTGATTTAGATGCTTTATTCTAGTTTAGAAATAAATATTGTCTGGACCTGTAGAGGGAAAGGAGGAGGCAAAAATACCTGGATTGTCTTCCCAAGCCCCATGTCATCTCCAAGAATGCATCCACTTTTACGAACATAATGTCCATGAAGAAACTGGGCCCCTTCTCTTTGATAATCACGTAGATATCTATTAATGGTGTAAGGGATCTCTTCTCCGTCTTTGGACAGCTCAAAGGCAATTGCTGGTGACGGAAGCCTTCGGTCAGGAAAATAAGGCTTTTCCAAATCTTCATCATCGAATATTAAGTTCTTCTTTGCAGTTTTATTTGTTTTGATCTGGGAGAGTTTGGTTGTAAGTATTTTCTCTTCCTGATTTTCCCCAAAGGAAACCTTGGCAAAACACTTCCCATCACTATCTGTTTCAAAGGACATTATTGTAGCATCACAAAGCTTCCCAAGTTCAGGAAAAGGTGCAAGACATTTATCTTCAACATGCCACTGGTCTGTTAAAAACACATGCAAAGGAAATAACATTTCAGACTGAACAAAAAGCAGTGCACTGCAACAAAACTTGGGAAAAAATGCTTGCTGAAAATAACACTGGAATGTAAATTTGTATACAAAATACTAACCTTTTGCCATTATCCATGTTGAGGATCAGGCAAGATATACATCTGAATAAATAAATAAACCACTGAACTAGCCAAATTGTCATTTTGACAAATGCATCTTACTCATTTTGTGCTCACTGCATAAACTTCAACCTATTTCAAAGAATTTTGAGCACGCTGGGTACTGTGTGCATATGAAATATCTCAGTCTAAGGCTATCTATCAGAGGATTAATGCCACAGAATAAAATTAAAGATGAGATTGCATGACATATAATACATACTCCTATATGTGAAAATTCCCATGAACATGTTTTTGAGTAAATACATTAAGAATTACACCAGATCACCATCCAAAGGCCTACCACTATTTTTTCTCTATACCAGACGAACAGATGCTGAAGTTTACAGCTCCTAGCAATTGCTATTAAGAGGCGTGTTGCCTCTGATACTAGAGATAAGACAGAGCATTAATGACAGCAGGCCAATTATCACATTATGCTCCTTGAATGTTTAATCTCTCTTTAAAAGTGCCCAAATTGACGGGCGCCATTACACCTGTAATACAACTTCTCCCATCCACTTTTTTCCACACCATCCATAATAGTATGCATCTCCATCAAGCTCCTCTTAATTTTTTTCCAGGTTAAAAAGCAAAGAGCATGGCTGGAGGACTTATTTCAAAGTCTCCTCTCTTAATCACGTGACCAGCAGAGAAGTTGGATGAGGAATTAGAATGGAGAGGCCATTGCCCAACACACTTATCTACAGGAATCTATTGGGAATTTTTTTTCTGGATTTTTTTTTCTCCACAGCCCCCAGCCAGATCTGTCCCATTTCTAAATTTGAATTCAAATGTTCATTCTGTTCAGTTTTCAAAGAATTGTCCCACTAATGGACAGAAAGCCAGAGTCCTGATTTCCTGTTGTTTTAGAAATACAGGTAGTCCTTGGTTAACACCTACCCTGGTTAGCGACTGTCTGAACTCATGATGGTGCTGAAAAAGTAGCTTTATATCCAGTCCTTGAACTTATGGCCGTCGCAGCATCCCCGTGGTCATGTGATCACCATCTGGGCACTTTGCAACCAGCACACATTTACAACTGTTGCAGCATCCCATGGTCACATGATCTCCATTTGCGAGCTTCATAGCCAGCTTCCAACAAGCAAAGTCAATGGAGAAGCTGGAAGTGAAGCGCGCAAATGGTCAATCATGTGATGTCGCTCTTAATGACTGCAGGTTATTTGCTCAACGTCCACAGCGGAACTGACATTGTAAGTCCGGCGTGGTCACATGTTTTACTTAACAACTGCATGACTAAGCGACAGAGTTGCTGGGCCCGATTGCAGTCGTTAAGTGAGGAATTAAAGAATGAAATAGTGATTAATAATAATTTTAAAAATGCAATAGTGGCAATTTTAATTTTGATCTCTTTTATATCCTTACATAAGATTGAAACATCGATTCCAGCATTATTCTCTCTTATAAGGTAACTCATAAACATATAACTCACCTGTAAAAGAGGCACACATTCCTAATTGCATGTAGGAATAGATCTCCAAATGCCTATAAAATAGGAAAAAAAGTAAAGGATCAACAATAGGTAAATACCATCAATAGATATTTCACTTGATGTAGATTTTCATCCTACTATATATTAAATGTCAAAGATCAAGCAAGAATCCATACCCCAAATCTGGAAAAAAAAACTCCAAAACAATAGGCATAGTAAAACCTATGCAAATTGATTAATAAATATTACTTCAGTTTAAGAAAGAAAAATAACTGCAGACCTTTTGCAATTAAAATCCAGATCTCATACCACTAGAGAAAGAAGGTTGTACATGCACGTAAAACAATCTTTGATACGCTGAATGTCCTGAAGATTGTTTACAAGCATGACTGCAAAATCTGTCCAAACTAGAGCCAACTAATGTCTTTGTGCTGCTCACAAAGCCATATTACTGTACACATGTGTCAGTACCCTGCTTAAGTCTCATTACTACTCATTACTAAGAACTTCTTAGACAATCATGTAATCTATTATGCTTTCATAAATACCTCATTGATTAGGTATGTTAAAGACACCCACAAATTAAACTCAATTCTCAGCAATGCAATCTTCTGTTTACTTGCTAGCAATGTATAAGTACTTTAGAAGTCATTGCTGCCTTCTGGAATTGTTTTTCTTTCCAGTCTTGCCCACAGCCCTGTGATTTCCTAGTGGTGTCCCATCCAAATACTAACCAAGCCAGTCCCTATTTAATTTCTGAGTTCAGGTATTGCCACTTGATGGACAACAGCTAGTAGACTATGTGAGGAGAAAATCTGAGATAGAAACAAATCTAAACCACAGCAACTCATGCAATGTCATGACAACTGTGGGGCACAACACATTCATTCTTTCATCTAGACATATATAATTCCTGTTTTTGCACATGATTTGCACATATAGCTCACCATGGTTTATTTAACTAATCCAATTTTCTGGGTTTCCAAACACCCTGAACCATAAACTTCAACATATGAGTGAGCTTGCACAACACAGTAGGCTAAAATATAATTGACTAGATTCAGGTTCAATGTGTTCTGCAAACCTTTCTAAAGGGCCACAGAAAGGGTCTGTTTGACTTCTTACTGTCTTAGATGTGATGGGGTGTTGTTTTTATATACTTCTGTCCCATTAGACCTGTGTTTCTTAACCTTGGTGGCTTTAAGATGTGTGGACTTCAACTCCCAGAATTCCCCAGCCAGCATGTTAGCATCTCATTTGAGTTGATTTTGGGGCTGCCATCTCCAGCCTGCAATCATCCAAATACCAAAACATTGCGACACTGAAAACTCTAACTTCCTACTGCTACCTAGTGGTTATCCAGACTTTTGCAGCCCAGATATGGTAACCCTTGCAAATTCCTCTGTACCCTGTTAGGGTGTCTCAGGCAAAAGTTTTGCATCAGGTTGGGAGCCAAGCTGCTTATCCTTTCCCTCTGAAAAATCAGCCTGAATAAGTGTATTATATATAACCTGTGTACTGAGACGAGGTAGAAACCGCTCTCTGATCTTTTAACTTACTTCCTTGAGAGTTTACACGCCACCTTTGTGGATCAAGCCCACCCAGGAGGCAGCAACTCCGTACAAGTGTATTTGTACATACAGAATTATTGGACATTTACTTAAAAGCTCAGAAACAAAACGACAAGATACTAAGATATAATGAATAGAGTATAAACTCATGCTGCCAGGATCTCCGCATTAAAAGATCAATATTCTGAAGCAAGCTGCGTCACGTAAAAGCCTCTGCTCTAAAGCATTCCCTTTAAAGTTTGAAAGAAGACATTCTCAACCTCCGAGACTCCCGCGGGCTTTATTGCCACACGCCACCCATCCCATCATTTCCTTACCACCATCTCGTCGCAGCCGATGAAATCTCGCGAGAATATCATTCCCGTCGGTATCAGGTCTGTAAGAAAGGCCACTAGCTACTTTGCTTTCGAAAGGAAATCACCATAGATGTATAATCGTGCAGAATGGCCTCTCAGAACTCGGGTTCTATATAAAAGCCTTCCCCTTCCTGGGGATTGGCCGTGACTGAGCAGCCGTTTTCAGAGTACTGTGTCGCGATGACAAAACTCTAAAACTTTATTTGTCTCCATTCGGGGAGAGAGCCGGTGTGGTGTAGTGATTAGGGCATCAAGCTGGAAATTATCATGAGTTCTAGTCCCACCTTCAGCGCGAAGCCAATTGGGTGACCTTGAAAGCCAGTCACTTTCTCGGCTGTAGGAAGGAGGGAATGGCAAACCACTAATGAAATTTTGTCAAGAAAACTGTTTGTCCTGGTAGTTGCCAGGAGTCAATACTGACTTGAGGCACCAAAAAAAAAAAAAAAGGAAAAAGGTGAGGAAAAAGTGGGCATTCATAGCACAATGCGGGGTCTCAGGGAAAGCAGGTCTGATTTTCCTTCATTTATCACTCTGAGCAGCAAAAGTTTTTCCAGTTCCTGAGGGAGACTAAATGAAGTGTGTGAGGTTTTTTATTTCCTCAGTGCAGCGAAGAGGGTGTGCAGTAAAGAGAAATAAATGAATAAACTCAAGTAAAGCAAAGCCAAGGAGCAACTGCTGTGTGAAATCCAGTTGAGGACATTGGGATGGAGTAAGAACCAAGTTACCACTTTTGCCTCTTCTTGGCACCAAGCACATTCAGTTCCTTTCACCGGATGTGGCTCATTCTCCATCTACAGCAGCGTTTCTCAACATTGACAACTTTAAGATGGGTGGGCTTCAACTCTCAGAATTCCCGAGCCAGCATTGGGAATTCTGGGAGTTGAAGTCCATCCATCTTAAAGTTGCCAAGGTTGGGCTACAACAATTAGAACAGCCCTTCTCAACCGGGGTTCTGCAAAAAAGGTCTGTAGGAGTTCCGCAAGAGATCATGATTGAATAAATAAATAAACAAACAAACATATCTGCAATTTACTAACCACACTAATGTATTGCGAGTGGCTGATATAATCATTTTTATGCAGGGGTTCCCTGAGAACTAAACATTATTTCAAGGGTTCCTCCAGGGCAAAAAGGTTGGGAAAGGCTGGTCTAGAGTTTCATCCTAGCACTATGGCCAGTTAGGAACAGAAATAGTTATTGGTGCAAATAATCCACATCACTGTTACTCTATCTTGACCCCCAAATCCATTTCCTTCCTTTTCTGTTTTATTATTTAGCTATATTGCTAACTTGTATATTCCTTCTCTCCTAGCAGATGCTCAAGGCATCTCCTCTTGAATTGATCTTCTTAACATTAAGTTCCTTTACATAGAAGTTACTTGTCCAGAGTATCCAAGGGAGTTTCATAATGGACTGCATAGGTGGAGTTTAGAATCTGGGCCTGCCCAGTCATAATCTGATTGATTATGACATGATTCTAGGCTTCCTAGGTTCAGTTAGTTACTCCAGCATGGTGGCAAAGGATCTTGTAGATGGGAGGGACTTTAACTATCTTGCAATCTTATCTGCCCTTTGAAATTGGAACATGCATCCAATGTCCCTTACTATAATTTTTAATAATTTAATTTTGAGATCACTAACCTAATGGAAATAATGTTGTAAGTCACCAGACGTTTTGCTACTCAAAGGAGACTTTCCTTTTAATCAGTTGTTATCCAGTGGCAAACATGCCTTTGTTTTTGGTTTTTGGTTTTAATTTACAACATCTATGTATTTCTGATAAGTTTGGACACTCGGTTTCCAGATACCCCTAACCTAATTAGACAGTCCTTGGAAATTAATTTGAAGGATAGTCTTTTATTTGTATTTGTATTAAACATTGATGTCAAACATAAAATATGGATGGCATGATCACAATAATCACACCCATTTAGCCCAGCTATTGATTTACAGACTCAAGTTGGCTTATGTTTCAGAGATTTAAAATAATGTTCAAACTCAGAAGATGATGGCACACTGGAGTTAACAGTAGGAACCTGATTATTCATACTCTGAGCATTAACCAGTTATAAGCCATCTTTTTAAGGTTGCCTTTAAGGCCACATTTTTCACAGATCAAATAATACAATATTTACAGCTAGCCGTCTTTACAGAATCTAGGAAAAACATTCACAACTTGGGTCTCTTGGCTTTATCTGTGCCATAGTAAACTGCAGATAAGAGATACAGTTACTGAGTTCATACAACACGCTAAGCCATAACGTCACTTGTTTGATTTTTTTTAGATTTTTTTATACCGCCTTTATTATTTTTATAAATAACTCAAGGCGGCAAACATACCTAATACTCCTTCCTCC